TTGAAATCGGCAATGACTTAGTTGCCAACCTAATAGAACTACTCCACATTACCTCGGATCAGAGCAATTACTGGCCAATCTGAATTTCAATTATTGAATTAAATATTTTATATTCCTTAAGGTATCATTCCGAAATCAATAATTAAACACAGTTTGATGCAATAACTGTTAATAACTCCGCCAGCACCGACTCTTTATAAGTACTGAGTTGAAGAAGGTATAATACTTACGGGCTAATATTGGCTCAAGAATTAAATGTGTGCGATACGTTAGCAGCAAGTGGTACGGTTTTTTCAGTCTTCTCTAAATCGATGAAATTGTGTTTTCCATTTTCCACATACGTGCGTAGTTATTTGTCTTTCTAACTAGTTTACTAGTTTTAAATCCGTTCGGACTTTGTGATGATTAGATCTAAAAAACCAATCGATTCACACAACAGTGCAGTTCACGTGTGTTTATGCTGAGTATTTCACCTGTGCCAATCGCGTGCGAGTCAGCTCAGTTGACCAATCAGAGTCCGCGCGTTTGATTACCTAGAGGAGGTGGCATTGAGAGCTAACTGCGCAATTTCCAATATCTCATCTGCGTGCAAAGTTCTTTTCTGACGCCTTGTAAAGTAAAACTAAAGCCGTCAGTGGAAAATCCACTAACATCAGTTTAAATACACAAATAATGAGTTAATTGAGCTTCATATGAAATGACGAGGAAACGAGATCTGGATATATTTAATAAATTCAAACCTTACGATAAGCTACTTTTTGAAAGCACTGTAAGTTATTTTATAATTTTAAACTGATATGTATTTGCGAATTTTTTAAAGTGATTATTTAAGATCCATGTCTTCGATTTATATATCCCAGCATAATCATCTGTATTTTATTGTATGCCCTGGAAGTTCCTTCCAATACCTTACTTTGTTTCATTTTAGTGAATTATTAATCATTTGGTATTGTTATTAAAAATTAAATCATATTAGACTGCGGCCAAAAATTTGAAGCACTTTATATTGATTATGTTGAAACTATATGGTTCGAAAACTACGGCCCATGTGTTCAAATTGAATGAACTATGTCATTTCGATTGTTTTACTAATGTTAGATAAAATTAGCTTGAATGTTTTAATTGCATGAAAGGAAAATTTAATTGAAATAACAGAATAATTCTGCAATAAAATTAGATTTTCAATAATTTCGGCATATCGGGAGCAATAAATTGTTCCCTTGAAAAGAAGTTTAAGTTAAAATTTCAATTTAGAATTTGAGAATATTGTTTTCTAAGAATATTTGCCTGTATTCTTTGTTTATTTCGTTTGTTTTATTTTTTTCTGTTGAATAAAAGTGACAATAGTGTAAACGGTAAGAATAAAATGACTAGATCGCAAAGCTAAAATCAATTAGAAGACTTTCAAATCATGTTGAAAAGGGGTTGATTTTCATTGAACTTTAATTTACATAATTGATTTGCTTTAATTGTTAGTATTTTATTGCCTATGCAATTGATTTTTTTCTTTCTGCTATTGAATGAGGTAGACATTGTAATATAAATCTTTTGCAATAAAAATGTTTCAAACTCGCATGAGTCTTCATAATTCTGTGTTATTTTTTTGAAAAAATTTAGTCCGTGATCAATGACCTTTGTGCAAGTATATGGCTGAACCAAGTTCCCGCCTACAGTCAAGGACCTGAAAGAACCGTGAGGATTTTTTACTTAACTTAGCAAAGCTTTCCAAACCAATTTCGTTACTTTGATGGATTAACTTTAATTGACATTTCCTTTCTAACACTGCAATTTAAATTATTAGTACATGAATTAGGATTAAAAAACAAAGTTGCAGACATAGAGTCACAAAATTTGATAGAAAGTGTGATAAATCGCCCCCCCCCCTCCCTTCCCTTCCCTCCATATAATCATATATCGCGATTCATGCAACAGCGTATTGTAACAAAATTAGCACTAAATGTGTGAGCCAAAATTTGTTTTCTTTTGTGTTATAGTTTCCACAAAGGCAGCCTTTCCCCAACTTTGAGGCCGCTTATGCACTTGAGATAACCACGTGTAAAGTGGTCAACATTTAATTAGGTCGATGCATTTAAACACCTGTGTTTATGTACTGCCGCAAGGACGCAGTCCCATTCCTTTGTTTCAAAACAAGTTAAGGAGCATGTAAGCAGCTTAACTTTTATTGTCAGAAAAAAGTTCATTGATGTGAGGAGAGCTGTAATATCAGTCAAACAGGCTGTCAATAGAGGACAAAAATATGCTCCTCATCTATGAATGAATCTTTCATTTCGTATTTTGGAAGGGAAGAACACCACTAAACATTATATAAGCATTGAACAACCCAATTCTAAAATTCAACATTCCCATCAACTCCTTTTATTGTCTTACGACTATTTCATTCTTTTTCTTGAAAATTTCCACTCTATTTCAATTGCTGTTCCATGCTTTTACCATACAACCTTTTGTTTTACTTTATTCAGGTAGTTAAATTTCGAGCCCGTCAAAGTACCCAAGATGTGCCCTTCTCTATTTTATCTGCATTTAAGTACCACATTGAAAACATATCAAAAATTGGAAAAGTACGTTTCCACTCAACTTAAGGTTGATCCTTTAGTATTGCTTACAAATAAATAAACACATTCTTTTTAAATTCTTATGTTATTATCTTGTTTTAGTACTTAACTTCCATAAGAAAATCTCAGGCTTGGATTGAAGAACAGGAAAGCAAAATCCATCGACTTTCGAATATATTCCTTTGGACGGGTGGTCTTGTGGTATACATGAAATGTTTATTTAATTTGATTGCTTACTTCCAAACTAACAAGTCTCTCGTGAATCAGTTTTAAAAGATATGACTGGCAATGAGTAGTCATATCGTGAAAGATCTTTTTCAGTAGTGAACTGTTTGCTTAAAGTGAGTGCACTTTAATAAACGCTAACAGGTGGCTCAAACTCCTACTTAATGAGTAATTATAATGTGTTTGCACTGAAAGGGGGGTACGATATGGGGTATTGTGCTGCATGCAAACTTTCCTTCTACCTATCTATCGGATTTTCAAACTAATCCGTAAATTTTTAAAAATGGGAAAATGAGATTTCAAAGATACTGCATGATTTATTCGAATGATATTTTTCATCTGACAAGCAACTAATGCTAATGATTTAATTACGTCTGAATACGTGAAGTGGTAAATTGTTCAATGGGAGATGAAGCGTGTCAGTAGGTCAAATTTAGTTAAATCCCAACGCAATGTATCTCTCCCTCACTCATAAAGAATATACTGCTCTTGGCCGTATAAAAATTCTCCCGAACTCAAATATTTTTCAATCTTCAGTTTTCTGCGTAAATGTTGGCGATATGTATCCCTTTTTGACCAATCTAGTGACCATTAGCGACTTGTTGAGAGTAGAGTGAATTTTTCAATTTTGGAGTTCACTCAAAATGAACCCTTAGGTGAGTTCTAAATATCATTTAATATTGACATTAGCATTAGATTCATATTTATGAATTAAAGAGAATATTTAGAGCAGTCTTTTTGAATCTCTTCAATTGGAACCTAAAGTGGTTTTATTAATTATGAGTTCCTTACTCAAGTCTTTTCCAGTCGATAATCATTTACTTCTGAATATTTTAGTCAAAAGTAAAAAATACGAGTTATTTGTGTTCATCAATAATTTCTCAAATTAAATGAATTAATTAACTTAAGTGACGTGGGAAGTACCATGAGGATCCATCTTCCGGAATCTATAGATTCAACACACTTGTAAATCTCTTATTACATACTCATCCTTGACTTGAGCAGTTTTGCTGATTATCTGCTCCCCCTTTAATTATTCATCCACCACATTCTTCATATAATTAGGAGCTGAATGTGATTCATTCAGATCTCATCCCAAACGAAAGGATAGACAAGCGCTTATATTTTACTCACCTTAGCCACAAATCCTCGAATGGCGTTGATAGGCTATATATATATATATAACTTTTCTTTTTGAAATAGTTCAATGAAGGTGATTATGGTGGCTATGATACTAGAGGTCAAAGTGCATTGGCATTAGGCATAATAAGAGCCGTCAACTCATCTTTACTTACCTATCACACTTCTGAAACTGTCTTTTAGGCACTAGCAAATGAAATTCGAATGCAGCATGAGTCTATTCAATCAACAATAAAATATATGGAAAGACTTGGATCTATTTCTTATCGAGTTCCCTATGATGATAACGATAATCTCAAGCCAAGTCTATTCAAGGCTAAAGCAATCGTCACCATCAATAAACCGGAGGTAATTGATCACTTGACAATAAGGCTTATATGTGATGACTGTTCTCCTCAAATAGGCATAGTAACAAAATCGTTGGTTTTTTGCAGCTGAATTGCGTTATTGAATACGGGGGTATGTACACTATCATTGACGAAAGGAACCAATTTTTCTGGAAGGTAGGGTTTGATCTTAATATTTACCTTAACATTTCAAATGCTCTAATTTTCAGTAAGAAAGGAGATATAAAATATGCTAATTTTGTGTATTCAAAAATAAGTCGAAACTCATTTAGGTCAGAGAACTTGCAAATTGTTGTTGTTTATTGTACCTTCATCAAAGGCTTTAATACAATTGAATTCTATATCACTGCCTTAGATCAAAGAAACAAACCAGGAGGTTCCTGCCATTTTCTTCGAACCTTCTTTCAGTGGGACTGAAGAAAGACTTTGCGAAAAGTAAGTCAAAAGCGTCTTTAATATTGCCACTAATCATTCCTCCTACCATTATCTCTTCCTCACCCCCATCTTAGAGTTCAAAACGATCTTGATGCATTCAAAGCCAACTGCCTAACACGAGTTTGCAATATTCTTTTGCTTAAGCTCAGAAATAAACCCGTAAGTTTTAGAAGGCACACCCACGAATTATGCATACATCATGAAATATCCATAGAAGAAACCATGTTTATATTCAGATTGTTCCATCATCAAGACGTCCACTGCATTTTCCTCGTCGGGTGACAGCACCTGAACCTCTTGACAAGCGAATTACTACGATGCCACCTAACTTACAATCATCCCTTATCGATTGGATAGAGAGATTCGGCAAAGATCGAATGTCCTGGGAGCCCGTTGATCAATTCTGGCAATGGTATCAATCAACTGAAGGTAAAAATTCAAATCAGTCGCTGAAATAATTCTATTTTTTGGTAATATCGTCACGTTCTTTTTATTAAAAATATTAGCTTTAGCCAATTTGGTACATTTGATCTTTGCTTTCTTATTACCTTATTACCTTATTTAGTATTTTTAGATAAATCGTGTTTAGCATGACCTTGAATTTGTAGCGTATTGCTACGCTGATTAGCCTCGATTATGCCCACAAATTCCTTTGGGGGTTCCTCATATGTTTGGAAAGACTCAAAGAACTAGCTAAGCTACCGAAAAGCTTTGGAAGAAACAGACGTATCACATGGAACACGTTTATTTGGGATGTGTGTGAGTGGATGTGCGTACAGACAAGGAGATTAATCGTAACATTAATATGTCGAGTTTGTTAATCCAAGCGAGGGCTATTGATTGACAGTTGGCTCATGACCTCACTTACTCCAAAAGCGAGGTTTGAACAGCCCAATCTTCAAGCCTGTCTGGGTGTGCATGAATTTACATGTTAAGCGGTGACAACGTTGTGTGCTCCACAATTTAGCAAGACTAATGCTTCCACATGGACTGAAATTTTTCTTTTATTCTTCTTTGCGTATAATTAGGATAGTTATATGTAGAGTTTACTTGCATTAAAATAGGGGGTGTTTCCAGTTTCTTGGGGGACCACCACCTTAAAAATCACTGTTCGTCAAAAAAAGAAGTCTCTAGAATTAGTCGTAGGCTAGCATGTTAACCTATTGCTGTTGTTATGGGGACCAATCAGGATTACAAGGAGAACCCCTGAAATACACACCAATATGGTTCTTGACTGTGGAATAATCAATTTGTATATTATGTTTCACGGTCCACCACTTAGTCTTTCGCATTCCACTAGATCTTTATACTCTCTCTCGTTCTATAAGACCGATATTTAACAAAAATTCTGTCTTTAATCACACTCCTTGCACGAAACCTTTCCTTTCGGGATTCTAGTAATCTTTAATGTTGACAAAGCGACTTTTTCTCTGCATCCCTTCGGCAATCGCAAAGAAAGGTGTATTGCTGTCGACGGTGGCACCGTGGTTGACAAGCACATCTACGATTTTAGAGACGCACAAGCAATGATCGGAATGTTGAATCGCGTTCACTGTCTCCCACCACAGAGTTGGCTAGTGCTAACGAACTAGCCCAATTTCTAGGCAGGAATAGTGTACCGAAATTAGTTTGAGCATCACGTCTTAATTGATAAATATTGGCATACTTTTTTTCTTTAATGATTTCAAAAGTATTTTTTGCATTGAAATATTTTCATCTTGGTTGTTGTCTGAGATTTTTTAAAAGTTATTTTAATTTACATTTTTAGTGGGGGCTTCCGATACTATAGAATCTGTCCAACTCGGCTTGCGTTTTATGGAGGTAATTACTGTGCTGGTTGATCAAATATTGCATTAAGTATTCAGCACTATGCTATGCTATAAATTTTTCATCAATCTGCAGGCACTTTTCCAGATGGAAAACTGTTCGCCAACGGAATTTTATGAAGAATCAGGTTACAATGATACCGAGCCCATTTCCCAACGATCGCTTTCGAACGGTCTGAGAAGGTATGAAGCTAATCCATCTACTTATATATTATTAAGTAGGCGTTGTTAATATTTGCATTTTTTGGCTCCTTGGCAATAAAGATGTCTTCGGGAGTGTAGAGTTAGCAATATTATTATTATTATTTCAAATGACAGGCTTTATGATATTTATCATTAGCCCCTTAGTGGACTTCAGCTTTCCCCATGGGTGGGGGGGGGCATATATAGCAGTCAATTGATTGCAGTTCATTAGTTGTCTTCTGGCTTCCCAGTATCTCTGGGTTTTCATCGTTGTCTTTAGGGCTGGACACCGAATCAGGTGGGTCTTCTCCGAGTTAGCAATATTTGCATTACTAAAACTTCAATACGAGTTTGTTCGAGTATGTCTCTTATTTTATTTTACCGCGTCTTTGAAATAAGAGTTGGTTTTATCTCACTACATAAGTAAGATATACAAAGTTAAGGTCTCATGTAATATTCAAACCTGAAGAAAGGAATATTTTATGCGATTTGTGCTGCCAGTAATCTTTGTTTTAACAATAGTACTTTCTTCGATAACCAAAAAGATTTGAATTAGCACATAATTTTCCTCATTTAAGTGTGTTACCCAAGAGCTTGAATCTAATTACCACCACTCAGTACCT